TATATAAATGCATATGCCTAGAGTTGTATAAAAATGCATATGCCTAGAGTCATATATAAATGTATATGCCCAGAATCCTGTATAAATGCATATGAATGCCTGAAGCCATATATAAATGTATATGCCATCATTAGGGGCTTGCTTGTTTTCTAATGTTCAGTTTGCTTTGAATAAAACAATAAACTTTTAAGTACCATAAAGGCAGAATTGAAGGCTAGTATGAAATAAAGATATTGAAAGAGATACTAAGTGCTCAGATACAATGCAACAGTAGTGTGGTATGTCTGAATATGAGTAGCTCTTTGTATACTAAATTATTGTTTTCATTTTGCAGGTCCATTTGATGAAGTTTCTGCTTCAAAGTTAACCCTCACAAATCCCACCGAGCATACAGTATGTTTCAAGGTGAGTCTTGTGGCCAAATTTCTTGGTTAATAATTAAACCTCTTTTGTATTAGCAGGATGCTGCTGCTGCTGCTGCTGCTGCCAAAGCTGCTCTGGGCCCATGTTACTAGGTTGAAATGCACCCTTGGAGTTCTGAATAATGAATGTTATGGGACTGAGGTTTTGGTTTAATTAAATGACTACACATGCATTTAACTTCCATATTTTCATGTTCAGAAAATAATTTGATGTGTGAAATCTTGGCAATGGTTTACAGAATTTCAAAAATAGCTTCTTGAATGGAATACCTCAACAAGAGGAATATAACTGAGCTTGATAAACACATATTTTTACAATTGAAATATTGCACCTAGGGGAGCAGAATAAGTAATTTGCTTCTGGTGCTCAATGGCAGAACTTTTTAGCCTGATCATTTCTGTGAAGGGCAAGACATGGCAGCAAAAGGCATTGTAACTTTTTTAATGTGTACAAAATTCATGTATACTTTTTGATGTGAAAGTAGACAAAGAAATATTATTGATTGAGTTGTCTATTTAAGCAGGAAGTTCAAGTATTGAGCCAAAATTTACTTTACTTTATCAACGTATTAGTATAATATATGTATATATGTGTTAGCAATTGAACTCTCTTTAATTTTATATTAGAAGTGGCTTAATATTTAGTTCATATTTTTGTTTGAAAACTTGATACGTAGTTCATATTCTGGGGGAGGAAACAACAGGCCTTGAGCTGCAACTCTTTGAGTAAGCTCCTCCATGAACCTCCACTTGTCTCTTCATTTCATTCTTTGATACTCCTATGCACTTGAGACCTGTAGATTTTGTGCTGTTGTTACTGCTCTATATATGCTAGTGATGTTTTATGCTTGAATTCTTATAAACATACTTGATATTTATCTAACATTAAACAAATTGCACCTGATAAGAAGATAAGTTATGCAACATATGTAACTTTAATTTTAAGTTGTTGCTCAGTTACTCTTAGTTGTTGGTTATGTTTTCCATTTTTATTTTGCAAATATGTATGCCTTATTTTTAAGATGTTGTCCATCAATATTGCCTGCCTCTAATGTTTCAGCAGGCTTTTCCCTAAATTGTTTTTTAATATACTAATGTGTTTTGCCATGAATATTTTACATAATTCATCATTTTAATTTTTTACCTTTTAGCTGGGCTAGATGTTCTCAAGTATTTTCTGGAATCTTTCAAGTTGTGAGGGGAGTGTATGTATGGCGCATGTCAAGTTGTGAGGGGAGCGTATGTATGGCGCATGTCAAGTTGTGAGGGGAGCTTCCGTAATTTGCTAGGCATTTTAAGACTGAACATATGCTCCTGCATAGCTTCGTCTAGTCTGTTCTTGAAGGCGTTCATACTCGGAGCGTCACCGATGCTATCAGGGAGGCTGTTCCCTGATACTGATAGTGATAGTGATGCGTTCCTGTATACAAGCGCTGGTTCGGTGGCAGAATGAGTGGCAAACCGTGATGAATACTTCATGGATAATGCAGCAGATTTGTGAGAAATTTTCAGGTCCAATAGTATCGCATAATGCGATTGTTGAAAGTAAACATATATGTAAAGTTATAATTTATTACGATATTATATAAGAAAATGTTTTATGAGTGAAGAGAGTGCGCATTTACTGATTGATTTAATAGAGACTCCTGATGAACTACAGAGAGTATATTGATTAGAAGTCAAAGTTAGGTGATCGGGTGCAGATGTATAAGCGCGGAAAAATGAATTCACACGTCGCGGATGTGTTACGCACTAACACAAATTAAAGAGCTCAATGTGTGCACGTTGATGAGAGCATGAAATAGTTTTATTGTGACAATAGCTTCACGTAAGAGTTTCGTATTGCAGGAGAAATAACGTAGAGTTCATTTCCAACGTCGCAGGAATCAACGTTAGAAAGTTGTTCCATTATGGCAGTCACGCAGGATTTCGAGAGCACAGAACAGGAAACGTCGAGGCTTTGGTTTCGAAGCTGCTCATGAGGTACTGACTCGTCGAGTAGAAGTAAGCAGGACCACCGGCAAGTAACATCGTTCCGAGTCTGTCAGCCGTGAAGATGGTGGCGGCAGTTTTCTCGCCGTCGGGCCACTCAGGTTCCCCGTCTCCATCGAAATCGCGGGCGCACGACCAAGCAAACATGTTGAAAGGCAGATAATGACCTCCGGCTGTGTGGGTAGAAATCCGTTACTTGTTTTGTACCCGGAAGTGGTACGCCAAAGTGAGACGGATTACTATAAAATATTATTCATCACTCTTATTTATTCTAAATATTTCTGCACATCTATTTTGATTCTCCAGTCTGGCCATTCGATCGCTTTTCCAGGAGCCAACGGCGTCTGGAAGCCATGAAGAACACACCCAATGCTATCTATATCGCAGTGATAAGCGAGTTAAGCCAACGGTGAAGACAACACGGACCTAATATATATCCCATAAAATTTTTTAACAGAAATGACTATAGATTACATTTAATTTAACATCCATATGATTTTCTCCTGATACACACCCCAAACAACGGTCTGGGTGTCGTTGAGGGTTCGTTGCGTTTTGATGAGCAGTGGGATGCCTCCGGCCTCCGCGCACACCTCCTTCTGCGACGCGTAGGTCCCATTCGTCGTCCACGACAAAGGCATGAACACCTCCAGGGGCGTCGCGGTGAAGGCTGCTAACACAAAGTTTATGTTTACTTGATGTACAACAGCTCACGGTGTTAATAGTTTACTTGATGTACAATAACTGACTGAACTTTATAGTTTAGTTGATGTGCAGCAACTCACGAAACTTGATAGTTTACTTGATGTGCAATAACTGACGGAACTTGATAGTTTAGTTGATGTACAGCAACTCACAGAACTTGATAGTTTACTTGATGTACAGCAACTCACGGGACTTGATAGTTTACTTGATGTACAACAATTCACGGAACTTGATAGTTTACTTAATGTACAGCAAATCACGGAACTTGATAGTTTACTTGATGTACAGCAACTCACGGAACTTGATAGTTTACTTGATGTACAGCAACTCACGGAACTTGATAGTTTACTTGATGTACAGCAACTCACGGAGGTGAATAGTTTACTTGATGTGCAATAACTGACGGAACTTGATAGTTTACTTGATGTACAACAACTCACGGAACTTGATAGTATAGTTGATGTACAGCAAATCACGGAACTTGATAGTTTACTTGATGTACAACTCACAGAACTTGATAGTTTACTTGATGTACAATTCACTAAACTTGATAGTTTACTTGATGTACAACTCACTAAACTTGATAGTTTACTTGATGTACAACAACTCACTGAACTTGATAGTTTACTTGATATACAACTCACAGAACTTGATAGTTTACTTGATGTACAACTCACTAAACTTGATAGTTTACTTGATGTACAACAACTCACNCCCTGCTTTAGCCTGCAAAACATGTGCACAATCCCTGCTTTAGCCTGCAAAACATGTGCACAATCCCTGCTTTAGCCTGCAAAACATGTGCACAATCCCTGCTTTAGCCTGCAAAACATGTGCACAATCCCTGCTTTAGCCTGCAAAACATGTGCACAATCCCTGCTTTAGCCTGCAAAACATGTGCACAATCCCTGCTTTAGCCTGCAAAACATGTGCACAATCCCTGCTTTAGCCTGCAAAACATGTGCACAATCCCTGCTTTAGCCTGCAAAACATGTGCACAATCCCTGCTTTAGCCTGCAAAACATGTGCACAATCCCTGCATTCGCCTGCAAATCAAGTGTATATCCCTGCACTCTGTGTTGCTTGAACAAATACCGAATCAAATTAATCTCACTATTGGGGAAAATGACACATACGCCTAAAGTTAAGTAAAGTAAGTAATGTATGGAAATAAGAGGAGTTTACCAATAGGTGTAAACTATAGCGACTCGGAAGAGTGGTTAGAAACCGACGGACCATCGCGCCGGCCTTCCCGATATAAAAAGACAAATCCTGAGAAGTATTCACTTTTTTGGCAATTTCTAAGAGGCACAAAAGAGCTCTAGCTCCTCCGAGCACCAGGCGGCCAGAGGCCTCCTGGTAAATACTCCAGAGCACCAGGACACTCAGCGACCTCCTGACAAGTTCTTCAGAGCACCAGGACACTCAGCGACCTCCTGACAAGTTCTTCAGAGCACCAGGACACTCAGCGACCTCCTGACAAGTTCTCCAGAGCACCAGGACACTCAGCGACCTCCTGACAAGTTCTCCAGAGCACCAGGACACTCAGCGACCTCCTGACAAGTTCTTCAGAGCACCAGGACACTCAGCGACCTCCTGACAAGTTCTCCAGAGCACCAGGCGGCTCAGCGTCCTCCTGACAAGTTCTCCAGAGCACCAGGACACTCAGCGACCTCCTGACAAGTTCTCCAGAGCACCAGACGGCTCAGCGTCCTCCTCGTACCTGTCTAGCCCGTTAAACTGTATGACGTTTTAATTAACGTAGCATCCATCTTTATTTGTTATTATACACATGAACTCACACAAGTTACGCACGTCCATGAGGGCGCTGATGGGACTCAGCAGCCGAACGTCTTGCAGCTGCGTCTGAAATGCCGTCGCTGCCATTCCCGTCACATTTGTCAGCAGCAGCACCAACTGACAGATGCGCAGCAGCAGCATCAACTTGCAGGTGCTAGGCATCTGTAACAGCTTACAGGTGTTCATTTCATCTCAATGAGTTTCTCTAAGAACTGGAAGCGAGCAAATGTAAGTAATGCTACGAGTTGCATATACTGCCTAAATAATTGTCATAATCCAACTCCAATTAAATTGTCATTGGTAACTCTACGGCAATTTTACAGACTCTAAAACTAGGAAAATTCCTGAGTACAAAGCAAGAGTCTGAGGCTGGTCGTCTCTCTGCTGATACTGTCAGAATTTCGACAAGCAGCCCTCGATACAAAACATTCTATTTTATGACAAACTCAGTTCATGCCACAAATCATACTTGCATGCCCAGGCGTCATTAACTCCAATGCGGCATCAAAAAGAACTTTTCGCGCATGCAAAGTTCACGTTGAAGCACTGGCACTAAAGTCAAGCCAACGCACTAACGTACTAACTTCATACCCAGTCATCAATGGATCTAAGCGTGGACCACATTACCAGCCATTGCACTGGAGTTCTAACTTTATTGACAGCCACTGCACCAAAGTTCTAACTTTATTGACAGCCACTGCACCAAAGTTCTAACTTAACAGACAGCCACTGCATCAGGGTACTAACTTTATAGACAATTTCCGAAGCGCTTCGCAAAAATCTGGACTGGTCACCGAACTTTTCCTACAGCAAAGCATAATAGCAGGTGCTTGATGGCAGGTGTGTCGTGCACGTCAGGCTACACGCATGTGTCGTGCACGTCAGGCTACACGCATGTGTCGTGCACGTCAGGCTACACGCATGTGTCGTGCACGTCAGGCTACACGCATGTGTCGCGCTTGGTGTCACAGGTCACTACGCTGGTGTCACAGGTCACTATACGTCACTACAGGTCACTATGCACAGGTCACTATGCGGACGTGAGATGTTGCCATCAACAGAACTGAGCTTTCTCTTTCTCTGAAATAATCTTATGATGATGCGCAAATTATTAATACGATAAACGTAATGTTAAGAGTATTCATATTAATATGATAAACATAAAATTAGTTCTATGTAGCGAGATCCGCTACATGGTCACCAAAACTAGAGAAGAACAAAAATTTTGTCGAGATTTTTAAAAGACGTGCAGCAAGGATAATTTCTGGATTAAAAGGCAAGCCTTATGAAGAAAGAATTACAGATTATGAAGCTTCAAAGCCTCTGTTATCGACATCTGCTCGGTGACCTCATTGAAGTATACAAGTATACCCACGGTTTATACAATGTCCTAGAAGGATTACTAGAATGTGAAACAATAACCAACACCAGGGGCCACGGCTATAAACTAAAAAACTGCGTTGTAATACATCCATGCGACAACATTTCTTCTCGCTTCGAGTCACCGACATGTGGAACAGCCTCCCTGATGGCATCGTTGACGCTCCGAGTTTGAACGCCTTCAGGAACAGACTAGACAAAGTTATGCAGGAGTATATGTTCAGTTATGACAATGAGTCCAGCAGCTATCTCAAACAATCGTCAGTTATGGAAAGATTGGGTTCAAAAGGTCGAATCCCTTGTGGAATCAAGTCACGAAAAGTACAAGAATCGGCAACAGGCCATGAGCCTATTCCTTCAGTGCCGACACTTCTATTCTATTATATTCTATCACTTCCACCAAACTACTTCTCCCTGATCCTATCTAATCATTACTGAACAATCACTGCCACCAAAGGCCAAACTACTACTCCCTGATCCCATTTAAACCTTACTGATCTTTCACATTTTCCTCCCTTCCTCTTTCTGCAGACTATAGGTGTGCGTTCTTTTTGATGATCATATGACCGTTTCTGTATTTGTTGAGTAGATGGCTGAAACTGAAATAATTTGCCCGGTCATCTTCCCTCTGATTTTTACAAAACAGCCTGAAATTGGAGATTGGCCGTGAGTTCGGCCGTAAATTTGTCCGAGACATTTCGGCTTGCAGATACGGTCCGGTCGCTTTGCATTGATTAATTGAATTTTTGACCATTATTTTTAGCGCGTTATATATTTAGCAAATTATCCCACTACTATGACCACCCAGTTTCCAGCAAGTATTCTAGAAGCGTCTTCGACTATTTTTTAGCTACGTTAGTTTGTCGCTTACTAGACACAATTTCTCATCGATAAATAAGGAGGAACTCTGAATTTTCTTAAAATAATACGCATATTGAACCTCACTTCTGCACTAATAATTTCATTGAAAGATTTGAAAATTAGTTAAATCCAATGCAATTAATTTTTTACCATGGCCTCAAACAAACAATGACCAATTTTGTTTCAAATCAAATCCCATATTATCGGCTTTTCGTTCTGTTAGAGTGATTCCGACAGTGACGTCAAATATTGTGTCCGAACTCCGAGTTGAGTCGTTCTTGAACATTTGCGACAGGTCTATCATCTATGTACGTAATTTAGTATCGAATCAAATAATGTCCAAGTTAGAACAGGTTTTAATCTTAGACCCTCCCGTGGAGTTAAAATTCAAAGGTAATTAGAATTTTCTTGTTCATTGCCTGTTGTGCCAAAAATTTTCTACCATCTACAGTTCTACACCCCATACCCGGGCGGCCGGGCCATACTGCCATAGTTTGTTGTTTTTCTCAAACTGGATGGTGTTATAAACTTGAAATTGCATAGAACTTGATAAATCCATTGCTGCCCACTAAATAAACATTCATCACCATTTTCCTACAAATATTTTTGTATGCATTTCATTGGAATCCTTAGCCTTTATTTATTGCATTAAAAAATGCCTTCCAAAATGCTGTTCTGTTTCCATGTCTCACTTGCAGTCTCAGTCTCACTCACACTCAGACAGTCAGACTTGTTTTTTTAAATCATGGGTTCATGTTTCAAAAGGTGAAGCATAGTCATTAAAAGTTTGACACTGAAGTTGAAAAAGAATTGCTGTAGCTATTTCTGAACTTTTGGGCAATAGCAATTAAAAAATGTATTCATTGAAATTGAATCCCAAAATAATTTGGTAGCCTATTTTGTCTATTGCATGACTCAACTGGGTGAAATTGGGTGATAGCCAGGCTGTCTGCCAGGGTGCAGAAAGGGGATGAATATTGCAACTATCATTTGCAAGATCTTTGGTGATGCATCAGCACTCAGCAGTAAAATTTATGTACCCAGAAGATCTTGCCAAGACATTTTGATTGAAATTTTTGCATTTTACATAGGGTAAATGCACCATATTCTGACATTGTGGGTAATTCCAACACTTCTCAACTTATTCCCTTATATTAAGCTTTGTCTTAGTTCCACGCATGCGTAGATAGTTGGAATAGTGACGTCATACTATTGCGCGCCAAATTTATGCAAAACACTAGGTTTGGCAGGAAAATGTTAAGATCCTCAGAGCGAAAGTCCATGTCACCCAGTGGCCAGTGAGAACATCGAAAAACATCCAAATAGCGATAAACTGTTTGTGTAGAAAGAATATTATGGTTTGAGACTTTCAAATAAGTTTGTGAATATATTAGGAATCCTTTAAGTATACTTGTGTTTGCTGATTTTAAGTGGTTAATAAATTAATGGATGATTAAGTGAAGAGATGGTTTTAGACACATGAAAACTAATTCTGATACAGCTCACACAGCCTACACAGGGCATCAGAATTACAAATTACGGTTTTGAAGCGCTCTGTCTGCAGTCTGCGGACCGCAAGTCTACGGACATCACACCGCATATTTCAGTGATGTCGGAATTAGTCTTTCAATATGCCTAATTTAGTCACACACAGCGTCGGAATTCAGCGATTTTGTAGATTTTCAATTTTAAAGGCTTTTAAATAAATATGGCAACAGTTTGTGATGTTTCATCATTGCTGGTGCGTTGTGTGGTGTTTTGAGAGTGACGTAAAGCAATCAGAACTTGAATTGCGCCTACGGTGATCTTTTTATTGCCATTCATTTCTAGCTACGTCCTTAAAGTGTTGGAATATGGTGTGTTTACCCTACCTATTTGTCAGTACTTGGCCAACTATTTAGAAAATAGTAGAAAATCTGAGAGCCATAGGCAACGGATTCAGTAAATAATGAGAACGATAATAATTCTAGAACTAAGCATAAAGCAATGGTTGCTAGGATGTAGGGTTCACAAAAGCTTTGTTGATACGAGCACAGCGCCATCCTTAGTGCCAAATGAGAACATTTTTTGTTGCCCTTCCTGATGTTCACTTTTGAGTCCTATGAGTAGACTAGTAAGCATCTTGGATACCAGCATTATTGTTCATAAGATATGGGTCAAATCTTGAGTAGATAAGGAAATTAAAAATGAACTTATTATTCAAAATATCTGATTTGCCACTATAGCGCCATCTCTTGGTGGTCCCGGCAGCAGAATCATGTCAAGCCTCACTCTGCTTTGCTACTTTCTCAATAGATGGTGCCACGCATCTGGCTACCAGATAGCTGCCGAGTTATACATGTTGCAGTGCGTGGAGAATAAGGGATGTACCGTCAACTGGGGTGACTTTGGCCTAATTACACTAGTTTCTGCTGATCAAATTCCTACAAAATAGGAATGATGCATTGCTGGGGATTGTAAATTTGTAAAGATCTTACTGAAAGGTTCTTCTTTGAATGTCATGTCTAAATTATGTCACTTTTATTGTTTGATAACTTTTTTCTTAAATTAGCTGGGTGGCCGATGTCACCCGAGATGGGGTGACTTCGGCCACATGTGTTAAAACACAGTAAAAACATAGTAAAATGATTTCGTGGCTGAATTCAACCATTAGCGAGGTGACATCGGCCACATAGGGTGTTTTAAAAAATGATAATCAATGCAACTGGGTATTAATAAAAATTGTAACACAAAGATAAAACTCACATTTGTGAATCATCTGCTTCATTAAGGCTGCTTTCTGTCTATTTCAATGGCAGCTGGATGTGAAAGTTTGAAAAAATCTAGTCCCTATGGGATCTCGAGCATTCTTCAAAAAGCAATGATGCTTGATAGAGGTGCGACCCTTGAACTTACGTAAAGTGTGCGACCCTGTTTGTCAAGGTAATTTTTAACCAAAAAAAGGCAGACCCATACTGTCTAATGGGAAGCCCCAGTCTGAAAGCAGAATAATGTAGAATACTAAATCTGACTCCTCTGTAGGTTTAATGAAATACATCAGGCAAGAGCCATAAAAATAGATGAAATTAACCATAGGCAGGATTATAATTTTGCTACTTATTACTGAAATTTGGCGTTTCAAAACGCCAAATTTAAAATATAGTGGCCCTTTTGTGCACTTGATAGCAATTAAATAAGAGGTGGTAATTGATCTAGCCAGAATATTGCAATTCAGAAAATGGCAAAAACTCGGCTTGCAACTCAAAAGGCAAATAAGGTGATTTCTACCTTATTTTCTAGAATGGCTTGTGTGGGTGCAGGATTTTAAGGTGAAAAATTTTTATAGGTTTGGAATCTTGCAGCCCAATTGTACACTTCTGTTAATAATTAGGTAAGAGGTAATTAATCTATTAATAATCTTGCAGCCCTATTGTGCACTTTGGTTAACAACTAGATAGATGATTAATTTAGGATTAATTACCTACATAGGAATAACTAGGTAAAGATTCATCAATCTAGAAATAACCTTGCAGCTACTAATAATTACCTACATAAAGCTCTATTTGTTGCTTGTAAGGGAGATGTGTTCCATGCTTTGCAAGGCACCAAGTGTGAAAAATCTGAACTGCTAATTGAGCTTTATTGACATTTTTGGTACCACAAATGATGAATTAACTCTAGTCTAATGGTAAAAAAGGTGAATGATGAAGATTCCAAATTTATTAAAAATGTTGTATGAGAGCTCCAAGATTTGAGTAATAAATTGAAATATTTTACTTTGGATTACATCATGGCACCAGTCTGAAATTTCAGGTATAAATTTTCAGTGATTAAAGGTAAAAGCAATCATTTCTATGGGAAATTTGTGCAGAATCCACCCATGAATGAGATGAAAATACATATGCCTAGAGTTGTATATAAATGCATATGCCTGGAGTTGTATATAAATGCATATGCCTAGAGTCATATATAAATGCATATGCCTAGAGTCATATATAAATGCATATGCCTAGAGTCATATATAAATGTCTGCCTCTTCTCATGAAGAGAAGAGGAGGGCATAGTGGCAAACCAGAGATTTTTTAGAATCAGTTCATTTTTAATTTCTTCATTTACTCAAGATTTGAACCAATTTCTTATGTATGATAATGCTGGTATCCATGATACTTTACTTGTCTACTTATGGGACTCAAAAATGAACTTGAGGGAGAGTCTAAAAAACTCTCTGCTTTGCCACTATGGAGGAGGGGGAGGGGAGAGAAAGCCAGCCGGGTTCTTGACGCTAGAAGGACCCTTCACTAAATATACTCGTGGTATATATAGTAGTCCAAGATCAAGTAATATGTGACTTATAGGCGATTATTTACCGGTTAACTTAACGGAATCAAGGGCGATAGACACTAGAGATGTTTACTCGATGAACGCAGCTGACTCTCTCGGCCGTCTGGTCGTCTACCAGAAGTGGCAACTGGCAAGACCGGAATAGGTGAGGCCGGACGCAGATTATGCGTGATTATGTGACAAGTTGTAATCCGTTCTGATAATGTGACAGTATGAGCATGCGTAAGTGTCGGATGAAGTCTAAGTGACATTATCCAGCGTGTCACCGGTCTGGAACTTGGACGATGGCGTTCCGGCGTTGTTTGCAACTTTTAGATCAGAGGCTGAGGAAACTATTTATTATATTGAGGCCCAGTGGTTACAGTACAGACTACAGAGTACCAAGATTGCAGCAGAGAGGCGCGGGTTCGATCCCAGCTCAGTGAGACAGTGGTCAGATCGCTGAGGAGGCCGGGCGGTTAAGCACAGCAGTATTGGAGCAGTGAGTTGCGAGTTTGAGACCGCAGCGAGCTGTGGAATGAATGTTCTGCAAGGTTAAGAATGGGCGACAGGCCTACGGCCTAATAAACGCCGAAACCGCTATTATATGGATTACTACCTGCATGGGCTAAGCGTTACCACGTTAGATCCAGGTTTATTTACGAGTTAAATTTATTGCCGTCGGCCGTACCTTCCATATCAGCACCATCGTCTCCCAACCAACTCTTTCTGCAGTAACTAAAACCTAATCCGTAATAAGAAAAACATATGCATGGTTGAACTATATACTTATTTATCGATAATTATATACAAACTAGCTATATACTAGTTCAACCACGGAACGGATGCGTATAACGTTTGTGTTTTTGCCCCTGTATATAAAAGTACTTTTATTCCAAAGTGCTCTACATATGTTGCTAATACTCAGTAAAACCGTTTTCGTCTGGCTTTATTTCTATAAATAATGCTCTTAGTATCCATTTTAGACATTGAGAAATGGTCATCTCCTTATCAAAGTTAATAGGGACTAAAAACTGACGTGTCGAACAATTTGGAGAATGAAAATATTGCGAAGTAGTGTAACAATCTCATTTTAAACATAGTTCCACTCTGAATGTATGTTTAAAATCCATAAGAGTATATAAAACGTAGTAAGTGAATGTGCATATGATTACAAGATACATAGATAGTTTATACATAGCCTTCTTGAGCAACAAGATTCTTGAGGAGGCTTAGATTATATATTGTAAGCCTGCCATTTAGAATAGAATAGAATATGTAGAAGTATCGGCATTGAAGAAAATAGGCACATGGCCTGTTGCCGATTCTTGAATTTTTCGTGACTTGATTCACAAGGGATCCGGCCTTTGGAACCCGATCTTTCCATAACTGACGATTGATTGAGATAGCTGCTGGACTTATTGCCTGCTCCGTAATTTGCTAGGCATTTTAAGACTGAACATATGCTNACATCAGTTGAACATGATGTACATGATGTCAAACACTGCACTGCCTGCACAATGCAGTTCAATTACATCAGTTGAACATGGCTCAAATCGTAGACAAATTCACCTTGTTGACCACACTTTATAAAGTGATCATATATTGGACAAGCAGATTAAAAGTCAATGGTAAAAGAAAAATAACTTGAAATATATTTCAGACATTTTGCATTAAGAAAAAAGGTTATGAACCCATTATGAAAAACAAATTTCTGCATCATCACAAGCACTACGGTATATTTCTATTTCATTTTTTTCAAATCTCTCCATACATCAGAAGAGGCCTTCCACCACATTGTTAGACATATGATGTAATAATGAATTACATCCATTAATAAACATATGATGGATGTAAGATTACATTACAGGGAATTACATTAATAAACATATGATTTGATGAAACAAATACATCCATTTAAACATATGATTATATACCTAACAAATACTGTACATCCATTATATATACAGGACAGAAAATTACGTTAATAAACACATGATTGGATGTAACAAATACATCCATTATATATACAGGAAACTACTCACCAACTGCCAGAACAAACTTGTGTGCTGGTATCACTTGCTCCTCCTCCCCACGACCCACAACAAACTGAACGTCGCTCAGGATTTCATTGTTGAACAAAAATGCAAACCTGGAATAAGAAACAGAGCATCAGTCTCCAACTTTATGATGAATTTTGAGCTGAAGAGGAGCTACAATAATTTATCAGACATGAGTACCGTAAGGCAAAACCTAGGGTGAACATTATGGAAAACTCTAAGAAACTATAGCAAATTTGTTAGCTATGATGCATCAAGTCAGAGTTTAAACCAACCAACATTACTCTCATTGCAATGGTTACAAACCAAATAGTTGTAAATACATTTCAAAGTATAACAAGCATCATAAGGTAAACAAATATAATAATTAAAATGAGCACCTACCTATCTTTAACTGTTGTAAGTGTTGCTTGCCAGTTGTAAACAGGGCCAGCCTTTGCATTGAACACAGCTGCTTTGAGTGGCTGATGCTGTCCATCAGCAGCAGCATGTGCAGCAATGTTCTGAGAGTCTGCTCTTGTTGCTCTCAAAGCTTCAGTGCCCAAGTCACCCTTGCAAACAACTTGCTCGGGGCTAAATGAACTTAATGAAGAACTGACAGCTGAGCTGGTATTGCCAGCAGCTGAGCTGGTATTGCTGGCAGCTGTGATTGTATTAATGGCAGCTGAGATAGCATTGCTGACAGCCAAGCTGATATTACCAGCAGCTGAGCTGATATTGCTGATACTATTGCTGGTCAAGATTATCTTAGAGGTTGTGGAGCTGGCAACAGCAACTTCACAACAAGGTTCAGTACGAGCTTTTTGAACAGAATCTACACCGTTAGGTCCAACAGGCAATAAGACCTGGGCTCCATGTAGGGTAGGCTGGGGTGATAAGAAGCTACACTGTTCAGTGGGAATAGATTTGGCAGCTCTCAATCTTGATAGGCTCTCATTTGGATTGGAATTGCCAACAAAGGATTGAATACCTAAATTTGAGCTAGGAATTGGCAAACAGTCTTCCCTTTGATCAAGGCCTAATCCTGCTTCAGAAAAGCAATTAGGCAACGTCTTCATATTAGTTGACTTTGGCATGTCATTTACTGAACCCATGACAGAAGACTTCACTGATGCCCCAAACCTTGAAGTGGGGGCTTCAAAACATGCAGAATTTGAAGTAATGTCCTGCCAAGTAGAGAGAGCTTTTGGGCAGTCAGCCGTTTCCAAGACATTTTCTGAGGGACGGGAGCTTGGATCAGGAATAGCTTCAAATCTTATAAGATTTGAGGTGCAAGGAAGAGCTCCTGCTATGGATGACAAGTCTTCATTATGTTGAGTACCATCAACGAGAGAGCCAATTCTTATTTGGTCATTTTTCAGAGTCATATCAGAATTTCCAGGTTCATTTATTTTTGGGAAAAAATCAATTTTCTTTGAAATGGCTCCAGGTCCTTGAAGATGAGGGCATTGTACATTAAGATTAGAACTTTGGCCTTCTTCTGATTTGTTGGTAGCATCAGTAATAGATGATGCTTGGTCTTTGTGAAGAGTATTTTCATTTGTTAGACCTATTGTATTAACAATGGAGAGCGCACCACTGGGAAGACTTGATGACTCCACTTCAGTGAGGGCAGACCGAGATAGCAGCGATGGCAATGAGTGCAATGCCGTAGCAACATCAGACAAGTTTGCCACACACGCATTTTTCTCCTCATAATTCGATGCAGTAGCTGAGGAATCGTGCATTTGAATCCTGGCTGACCATGCATTTGGGAGCTGTTTATCTTTTTCTACACTCTCAAGTGTTGGGTTATATTTTTCAGATGACATTATGTTCAGTAAAACTATTAAGCAGAAAATAGAAAATGAAATTCTGAAAACAGAAAAATGTAAGCTCTATAAATTTAATACAAAATGCATATAAGTCATCCCTATGCCTTATGATAACAATATGTGAAATAATATAACTTGATAAGAAATAACACTGTAAAAATTTTGAAAATCAAATAAGGACAGTTGTTTAGTCAAAAGTATAATTAATGATTCATTATGGTTGTTCTGTCAATGCCAATTTGCAATATTAAATAAGGAAACATTGTGAAAATATCAAAATTTCCAGCATATTTTCCATGCAAAATCTTGACTTTTTTAATAACTAAGATATTATCAAGGCTTTGAGGTTACAGAAGGAGCAACACAGATTTTCCCAACATTTTCTCAAAACAGCTTACTAGCAATAAAGCAGTTCTTACTAGCAGTAAGAAGCCAGTATGGAAAAGATCTACTCTCTAAACCACAACTGTATTTTTGAAGCAATTAATCTATCAAATTTGCAGTTATGAGTTCCACTTTTGAGCAAGGAACCATTTCTTAAACCATGGAAGTTAATATTCAAAATGTATACAATGAGTACTATTGCATTATATCTCTAATATGTCCTTAGAAATACCAGCAAATTGCTTAGCAATTTCATTTCAATCATAGTTTGGATAATGTTGGCAGGCTATCTGATATGACTGCATATACAAGATCATTAACATACACATTTTGTAGTTAGCAGGCTATCTGATGTGACTGCATATACAAGATCATTAACATACACATTTTGTATGCAAAAGATTTACCAGAGGCAGGAAACGTGAATGCAACAATGAGACCATTAACAAAAATATTTTGTACACAAAAGATTTGCCAGAAAGTAGGTAATGTCAATGCAACAATGAGACCATTAATAACAAAATTTGTGCACTGAAATTTTTAGGAAGACAAAGCTGGAAAATCAAGTCAAATCCACATATGAAGGAGTTTAAAATGAATCAACATATTTAGAAGCAGCTATGTTAGAGCAGAATCAAGGTTTTTCAGTAGTAGCAGCAGGCTACTCTGCACCAGAGGTATATGTATACAGGGTGTATCCACCAATTACGTCATTTTAGCTTCATGTTTGCAAGGTTGTTTGCCAGTGCAGAGGTTCAGAACCTTGTGTACAACAGTTTAATCAATGAAAAACTGCACCATCCTGGGTTTGTAAATCCCATCATTGCATAACTGCAGCTGCTGACAGTAGAAGGCATCAAACTATACATAGTTACTAATTAATTAATATTTATGCTACAAGTATTGGACCATGGCAGCCTTCTGAGAAGATATGATCCTGCCAACACATAGCTGCAGCTGCTGGCTAGATTGGCCTTTTCTTGCTTATGAAGTTATGAATGAAATATTAGGACTCCAAAATGACAAAATTTAATACATTTGGAATCTAGCAGCTTGATCATGCAGTTTTATTAACAATTAGATAGGAGATAATTCATCTAGTAGGAATCTTGCAGTTAAGAAAATGGCAGGAGAGCTCAGTCATGCCTTGAATAGGAGATATATTCAATACCAGACTGCTGGTAGCAGCAAACATTGAACTATACAGTTATTATTAAATATATATGCTATGAATGAGCATTGACTAGTACTTGCCTTATGAAAAGATATGATCCTGTCCAAACTATTAGTATACGTCTATACCAAGCTATATATGGTTATTAAATAATATACATGATTATATGCTATGTACATTGCTGTGTTGAGGTGTTGTACTTGTGTTGTTGCCCATGCACTCATGTAGTCATGTTCAAACTAGTTTAGGTTGCAGTGCCAGCTGTGCCTGCACAGGCATGGAATATATTTACTTGGCAAGCCGCAACTGGGTTTTTTGAGCCGTGGTTTCATGGGTTTGCCAGCTGTGATTCCATTTCAAGCCATGAATTCCATTTTTTTCAAGCCGTGAAATCTATATCTCAGACTAGTGGCAAAGCAGAGAGTTTTTTAGACTCTGCCTCAAGTTCATTTTTGAGTCCTATAAGTAGGTATGTGCAAAAAAAAATTCTTTCCTTTGATCGTAATGAAAATTACACCACTGAAAAGAGAAAAAAATTTAGAAAATTATCATATAAGTATGAGTGAAGTAGGTTGAAAATTGAAAAAGATATGAATTTTTTCCTTTTTTCAATTTCACCCCAAAAATGGACCAACTTCTGTCACTTTTTTTGGAAAAACTATCATTTGTAGGTTTCCTATGAGCCAATTTCAAAGTTTTTAGTACCATTGGAAAGCTCATGTTGTAGGCTATCTATTCTAACTAGAATGAAACATTTTGGTTGAGACTTTGACTGCAGGTGGGTGGGGGAAATGGGTGCAACTGCTAGATATGAATGCTATAACTTAACTTAAAGGCAGAATTGGATGGAATAAATTTCAGTTTCATGGTCTTGGCATCATAATTGAGCTTAAAAATATGAAATTAAATAGAATATGCAAATAAAATTTACTAGTAATAATAATATTATCAAGTTTTATTAATATTAATTCAAAACTAATTATAATAAATATTAGTAAATATTGATAATAATAATATTAAATACTGATCATCATCATCATGTCATGTCTCGTCTCATCTCATCTCGTGCCTCATCTCATCTCGTCTCATTTCGTCTCGTGCCTCGTCTCATCTCGTCTCGTGCCTCGTCGCACCTCATCTCGTGCTTCATCTCATCTCATGCCTCGTCTCATCTCATCTCGTGTCTCATCTCGTGCCTCGTCTCATCTCGTCTCATGCCTCGTCTCATCTCGTCTCGTGCCTTGTCTCATCTCATCTCGTGCCTCGTCTCATCTCATCTCGTGCCTCGTCTCAACTCGTCTCGTGCCTCGTCTCGTCTCGTGCCTCGTCTCGTCTCGTGCCTCATCTCATCTCGTCTCGTGCCTTGTCTCATCTCATCTCGTGCCTCGTCTCATGCCTCGTATCATCTCATCTCATGCCTTGTCTCATCTCGTCTCGTGCCTTGTCTCATCTCGTCTCATGCCTCGTCTCATCTCGTCTCGTGCCTCGTCTCATCTCGTCTTGTGCCTTGTCTCATCTCGTTGTAGCCGGGTGGTTATTTCAGTATTTTTCATCGCAAACCAAATCTGTTATTCATTTGTTCACTCATTGTATATGTTCTAATTCAATACAAAACATTTCTCTTTGTTTTTTCAGGCAGGGGGAAAAATTCCAATTATATTATTCATGCATGTGCTTTAAATTGAGTTGTTATGAGACCATAACTGAGAAAATGTTGCTCAATGGGTTAGTCCAGTCGTAAATGAGACTTTCGTTATTCCCTTCCTAACCCCCTATTAGCCTATTCCCATGGACCCTTTCCGAGTAACATGGGTAAACTTAATTACTTAAAGGCGGGTTGGTTGGGCATTAGGGTATGGCGACCACCGACCAACAGCGAGGCGCGAGCCAGCAATGGCAGTATGGCAATCAGGCAATGGCATGATAACCATGATTGGCATCATTGTCATGGTGAACAGGTAAAGTATAGGCAAACTAACACGGACTGTGGTTAGGGTGTGCCGATGATGGATTGCTAAGCTAGGTAATCAAACTACCGTTAACTACGCAATACTTGACTATTATAATGTTAGATTTAAACTCAAGAGTTTTCCGGGCCTCCGGCCACGGCCGTCTGGTCTCTTCTTTCTTCTTTGCAGGGTGTCCACTTGGAGTGGACTTAAAGCCGCAGGTCTGCCAGATGGATGACCGTTGGGCCTGAGAGCTTATAGCTTGGGGTTT